CCAGGACCCTGGGATCATGACCTGAGCCAAAGGCAGACACTTAACGACTGAGCCACCCAGGCGCCCCACAGGTTTTGATTTTTTTAAACAATATGTGTATAAAACATTTTTATCATAAAGTATTTATCATCCTATTTTATCATATTATAATAGTCTTTATGGTGACATAAGCTTCAAGGAAGGAAAAATACCCCAAACTTTAAGAAAATACATACTGAATAAAAATGCACAAATCATGTGTGAAATTTGGTAATTATTCCTATTTTTTGTTTTAAAAAATTGTATTAATAAACTGAAGCCATTTTCTTCACTCTCCTTATATTCTTCTGTATATTGGTAATATGGACCTATCTCTTAAAGGAGTTTTCCTGTCAGCATTAGTTAAAATGCTTAGTTATTTTTCAAGATGACACCCAAGTCACTATTCATTCCTAATACATATCTCTAATACATGATGAAAATATAAGTACATTCAGGGAATGTAATAACCAAACGACTTGTTCTAACTAGAACTAACTATCCTAAGTATATTTTCAATTTATGTAAGATATCAGAATCATCTGTCTGAAAATCATACAATGACTTATAAATCAATCCCGATTCTGATTAAAAATTGGTTGTCATCAACATCAAAAACTTAAAAGTGTTAGCCATGCCAAAATACTGGTATGGTCATGTATAATCTTAAAATTACATAAAATTAGACTCTTCTCTCAACTTTAGATCTGAGAAATATGAGCACCAGAGAAGTTAGATGATTCATCCAGGGACAGCTGATCAGTTCCAGAGCTCGGTCTAAATCCCAGGTCTTTCGACCATCACTCCTATGTCCAAGTATCTGGTGTACCATGCCATCATCTCAGTCCTCTTTGGCTGTGACATGAGCACTGCTGAGAAATGAGGTACAATGAGAAGTGACTCACTCATAAGTTTGTTAGCACCAGTCTGGCCAGTGTAGGAGTAAATGAGGACCCTGGCCCAGACTGCTTCCTTGGGTGGCGACTGGAAGGAATCCCTGGGCAGCCCACGCTAATATCTACTTCTGATGTAATGGGTGGGGATGTGCATCTGTATATGTATGCTTATGTAACTAGGTTTATGTGCATGTTTATGAGATTATAATGGAGAAAAAGTAGTTAACAAATTATTTGCTCAATTTGTTACTAACATATCTGTTACTAACATTCACCAGAATTCGACCTCGGCTATCCGTCTGTCGGAGAATTTGTTGTGGGGCTTTCATGTTACATTTGACATTTCTGAAACTGGGGTGGAAGGGTGGAAATAGAATAGTAGAAAGAAGATTTTCATATATAAAGTCATAAGCTAGAAAGAGAAAAAAATTAACTCTTTACGGTGTACAGGCTGCCCAATATATCCTAGCTATACATATAATAGGATGTATTTTAGAATTTAGATATCACCTATATCTTTGAATTATTATAAGATTTGACTTCACAAAAAGAAGACAGAAATAAAAGTAAAATGAAACAAATCCCCAGAGGAGTTAGGAAAAATGTACCCCATGTCACCGCTCACTGTGTAACAACTGCCACTTCCCACTTACTGAGGGCCTAGTATGTGCCAGGCAAGAAGCCATGGCCTTTTCGTGTAGTATCACTAATTCTCACAAAAACTTCCCAGGACAGCTATTTATTGCTGCTATTTATAAATGAGTGACTTATGGGTCAAGGACAGTAAGTGAATTATCCAAGTTGGTCAAACTGTTAGTAGTAGAGCAGGATGGGGTTTTGCATTCTAGTGAATACAACCCTAAACCCCATGTGTTCTCCACGACACCATTCTGCATGTCACCTAAAGCATATAAAAACAATGTGCGCAGGGCGCCCGGGTGGCTCAGTCAGTTAGGCGGCTGACTCTTGTTTTCGGCTCAGGTCATGATCTCAGGGTCCTGTGATTGAACCCCTTGTCGGGCTCCATGCTCAGTGGGGAGTCTGCTTCAAGATTCTCTCTCTCCCTCTGTCCCTTCCCCCTCTCACTCTCTCTCTCTCTCAAATAAATAAATCTTTAAAAAACAAAACAAAACACCAACGTGGCTAAGCTCTGGCTTCTAGAGATTGTTCATCCCCAAGCCTTTGCCCTGTGTGGTCTACCATCTTAGCAGTAACAAAGTTGACCACCGGCTTACAGGATGACTTGGCAAAGACTAACATATTGTTCATTTCAAGCCTGGAGGCCAGTGCCAAGAAATTACTTGAAACTTAAGCTCATCCTAGAGTACAACTTTTCAAAATCACTCTACTTAGGTGTTCAAACCCCTCATGAAGCATTCTTTTGACATGAGATGGAAAAGACATTCTAAGCAAGGAGATAAATCTAGACAAAGAGAGGTAGGAAAGTAAATACCATGTTCAGGAATACTGAGCATGTGAATCTGGCAATAACAAGGGATAAATGAGCAGATGTTAGTCTAATTGAACACCAAAGATCCAGGATGTGGGCTCTACCACTAAGCAATTGTGAGCACGTGAACAAACAACGTGACGTTTCTGGGCCTCAGTTTTCCCATCTATAAAATGAAGACCAAGGATCAGCAAATTTTTCCTATAAAGGGCCAAATAATAAGTATTTTAAGCTTATGGGCCATACAGTCTCTGTGGCCACAATTCTACTCTGCTGTTCTAGCGCAAAATCAGAAATCAGCCACAAGCAATACAGAAAGAAGAGCCACGGCTGTGTTCTGATAAAACTTTATTAACAAAAACAAGTGGCAGGCCCAATTTGGACCACAGATCACAGTTTGTCAAGCCCTGAACTAAAAAATGATCTCTGAGATCTCTTGAATCTGTACAAGTCTAAGATTCTACATTACTCTAAGAGGACCCTATAGGCAAGGCCCAGCATCCAACTGTTATGTACAGGCTGCTTAACAAATGGCCACTCTAGGGCGCCTGGGTGGCTCAGTTGGTTAAGCGACTGCCTTCGGCTCAGGTCATGATCCCGGAGTCCCGGGATCGAGTCCCGCATCGGGCTCCCTGCTCGGCAGGGAGTCTGCTTCTCCCTCTGACCCTTCCCCCTCTCATGTGCTCTCTCTCTCTCATTCTCTCAGTCTCAAATAAATAAATAAAATCTTTAAAAAAAACAAAAAAACAAATGGCCACTCTAATAGGTTGAGACCTGGGCTTATCAGCCATTAAATATTCTGAACACAATCTCTGTCTTGAATCACATCTTAATTAGATAAACTAGACTTGAACAGGAACCTCCCTCTTTGGTTCTTATGATAGTTTGCTATGTTTTGGGGTTTTTTAATATTTTTTATTTATATATTTGAGAGAAACAGAGATAGCGAGACAGAGCATGAGCAGGGAGGAGAGGGAGAAGCAGGCTCCCCGCTGAGCAGGGAGCCTGATGCGGGGCTCGATCCGGGGACCTGAGCTGAAGGCAGACACTTAATCAACTGAACTGAACCTATGTTTTTGTTTTTAATCATAATCTAGCATAGGTCAGACTGTGGAGAACTTTGTATGTCTGATAGAAATTCTGCAAGATGTGAACATTTGTCAATATTAAACTTCTTTGCTAACCTTATCATGGAAATGTGAATGAACAACAAAATTATTCAAAAGAATGTAGAAATTGAGGAAGAATATGAAGGGAAACAAGAACCAATAATCCACAAACTAGGCAATTTGCTTCCATAACTCACTATGAACATAACTTTTTTTATGGATTATTAAGAGTCACTTTAAAGTCTCCAAAGCACTTGTCTTACCTTCTTCAATAGTTATTAAGAGCACACTCCCCTACCTCCACGAGCCCCGCTCCCACTCCCTACCATCAGCTAGTTATTGTCATAGCTTTGACAGTCCTGATGGGAAAAATCCTTTAAACACTTTTGGAAGTTGAAATCAAATTCACCTGTGGCCAATAGTCATGATTACCCAGCGCAGGGAAAACCTGGAGATTTGGAAAGACACTCCGGATGGTGGTTGTCATATTAGCAATTACATCTATGACTTTGTCTGTTGAGAGTTCATGCACTGGAACATGAGGTGGGCTATCCCTGAAAAGGAGACAGAATCACAGAGAACAAAATCAATTTCTAAACTTCTTTTTTTTAAAGACTTGTTTATTTTAGAGAGAGAGTGCAGGCAGGGGGAGGGGCAGAAGGAGACGGTGCAAGCAGGGGGAGGGGTTGAGGGAGGGGGAGAAAGAATCCTCAAGCAGACTCCCTGCCAAGTGTGGAGGCTGGAGTGGAGCTCGATCCCAGGACCCTGAGATCATGACCTGAGCTGAAATCAACCGAGTCACCCAGGCGCCCCGAGAATAAAATCAATTTCTATAATAAGTTACTAGATTTATGCATGATGTCTTGTTACCCTGAGGGTAAATTGCACACTTCCACAACAAAACAACAGATGATTTTTAAGAGTTGATAAACTACTCTTCATTTACCTTTCTCCCATAGAGAGTCCTATTTTAAAAAATTGGCGTAATACAAATACAAGCCTATTACACCGCTTGACTGAAGATTTATGAGAAGCAAATATTTTAGCAACTAAAAGCACAGATTCCAGAGCTAAAATGCCCAGCTTTGCCATTTACTAGCTATGTGCCCTTGAGCAAGTTACTTAGATGCTCAGCCTTCATCTCTTCATCTGTAAAATGGGAATAATAATAATATCAATTGCAAAGATTAAATGAGTTATAATGTATAAATTAGTTAAATAGCACCATGGTCATTAGAGCTGGCACAGGAAATCTAGACCTCGTCACTCTGTCATGGCAGACAGAATTAATTAATTATACCACCAGGAGACGATATGTACAAAATTGCTATCACACGTTAAGTCCCATTATAGCCTTTTATTTTTGATTATCTAATCAAGACCTATTATCACATTAATAAACACCTCAAAACACTGATGTAAGTGTTCTGTTTGTGGAGTCATCTCTTAGCTAACATCGACATTTTTCTAGAGCCTGTATTCTAAAAAAAATAAAAATTCTGAGACTTCTAAAGTCTTCCTTATCTCTAATAATCTAATGATTAATTTGACATAGTATTTTTTTTAAAGATTTTATTTTTATTATTTATTTGACAGAGAGACACAGCGAGAGAGGAAACACAAGCAGGGGGAGTGGGAGAGGGAGAAGCAGGCTCCCTGCAGAGCGGAGAGCCTGACGCGGGACTCGATCCCAGGACCCCGGGATCATGACCTGAGCCGAAGGCAGTCACTTAACCGACTGAGCCACCCAGGCGCCCTTGACATAGTATTTTTAAAACCCAAATAATTCTTAACTTAAAACCTAATTAATCTTCATAGGAATTCAGCATTCTAATGAAGCTTAGGACACCATAGATAAATATTGAGGAACTAATGGTATTTATATAGTCACTTACCCTGTCCATATCATGAAAGATGCTTCTTGTCCTGAACTTTTAATAAAATCAAATGCTGACAAAATAAGGTGATATGGAGAATCACACAGAACATCTCCAAAAGGGCCAGGATTGGAGGCATTGGCACCTTTAGATGAAGCACACACTTTTGTGTGGTCATCTGTGATGTGGTAAGTAGGGTCTAAGTGCAAGTCAGTCACATGCCAAAACTGTCCTGTTGATTAGAAAAGAAATGGTGTTAAATGTACTTCCCTTTAGCAATTCCCATAAAAATATTTACAGTAAAACTAGAGATAGTCCTTCCTGTGATGGAGGAAAGCCTTAATGATTGAAATGTTCATTTGCCCTGAAGGTAAATACAATACTTCTCTGTCAGAAGATGAGGATTCCAAAGAAAGTAAGAAGAATTTACTAAAATTTACTACTTGCATGTGTCAGAACTCATGAGCTCAGGGACGGCATGACTACCTAACAAAGATTACATAACAAACATAAGTTGCATAATGAAATATAGGGAGATATCCTTCTGGGAGGTCACTAATAATATATATTGTGTCTTAGTATGTTTCCTTCCTTGTAGAATTTAAGGTTTTAGAGTTTATTTATATTCTTCTTATGGAAAAATTGACACAGAAACATAATGTGGTCTGTTAGGGTTTCACAGTGAATAGATTGCAGAACCAGGAACTAAATCTCACTCCTGCTTTCTTGAAAATCCTTGCCTCTCAACATTAATGGAAAAAGAATATAAATTTTTAATACTAGCTTTAAGCCAAAAGTAGGGATTGCCAGAGCTCCTAAAAGGTACTAAATACAGGAAAATCTCCTAGTGTACACTTGTATCAAATGTTACTAATATTAAGGAAAGCATTTGTTAAAGAGGATGAAACCTCAGGGAGAAACCGAGAACCCATTTGAGAACATGGGAAAGATTCTTTAATTGAAGGAAATACAAGTACAAATAATCATAGTAGTACCTCTCTTTATTAAGCATTTGTGCCGGGCATTATAATAAGGAAACTAAATATACTATGTCATTTCATTCTCAAAACTTGAAGTAGGAATCACTGTTCTCATTTTAGAGTTGAAAAATGAATGCTGGGTCAATTAGGAAATTTGCTCAGGTATACCCAGCTAATAAATGGCAGAGTCAAAATCTGAACCCCATTTTGAAAGGTCCTTCAGTTTGTTTATACCTAATTTACATATATCATCTATGATTTTGCTGCCTTCTTATTTGCAATTAATAAGTTATTTTAATATTGAGGCTTTTTCACACTTTGAATTTTGAGTTCACTCTGATGATGTCTAATTTATATCAGAAACACATCGGAAGCGGCACAGCAGCTGGTCCTACACCAGAAACGTGGAGCAAACAAGTAGAAGGCGAACTTGTATCTGTACAAAGATGATGAAGGCTGAGTATGGATGGGAGCAAACACCTGAAAAGAACCCAAAGCTGGGATAATAAAGCAAAAAACTGAAAACTGTTAACTTGTTAAGGTGAAAAAAGTATGTTATATCTGGGTTATTTTTTCTCCACAACATTGTTACAATTTTATAACTTATTTAAGTTGACAGCTAAGAAGTGGTAGACAAAAGATCCAGGAGAAAGTAGACATAAAGCAGGCTTTATGATCAGTTACTTGGTATTCCGTCCCCATTTGAAAACATTTGTCAAGAGAGATTTATTTTATTCTTTAATGTAGAAAAATGCTCTAGCTTTGATTTTTAGCTTAGACATACTTTAGCCAGAACACAAAATAGGGTTAGCAAGCAGCTCAGAATCATCCTGGAGGCTGTCCTTCTTGGCATATAAATATATAGTACATCTTACTTTTATGCAAACATGTTTTTTTAATTACTTGTAGAATGTTAAGGAACAATAAACTGCAAACAGAACAATATAGTGTTGTGATTAAGAGTGGGGACTCCAGAATGAAACTACCATGACTTTCAATCCTGAGTGACGCTTGTTTGAGCTTGGTTGAGCTACCAACTCTTGGTTTCGGCTCAGGTCATGATCTCAGGGTCATGGATCCAGCCCCGCATGGGGCTCCACGCTCAGCACAAAGTCTACTTAAGACTCTCTCCCTCTCCCTCTGCCCCTCCCCACCCCCCTCTTTCTCTCTCTCTCTCTCAAATAAATAATCTTTAAAAATCAATCAATCAATCAATCAATCAATCCAAGTTCCACTTACTAATCTAATGGTGTGATCTTGGCTTGTTTTATATGCAGAATGGGAATATCACTGCCTCCTATATGAGAGTTAAGTGATTTAGTAGAATAAAGCTCTTAGGAGATACCTGGCATCTAGTAAACTCAATGTTAGTTATACTATTATTATTTTGACCCCAAGCTTGAATTTGAGATTGAACCTCCTCATCTCCAAGTAAGAGTTAGAATTTATCAAGTACTTACTCTAAGTTTTGTACTTTTTTTTTATGCTTTACATGCATTAACTCATCATTATTTTCAATTTACAGGAAAGGAATTGCAGCACACAGAGATTAATTCAAATCACATGTGTCATATACAACAGAGTCGAGCTAGGGATTCAGGAAATCTAACACCAGGTTCCATGCTGCTCTTAACCACTGAACTGCTTGCCTCTCTGTGTGTGCTCATCTTCAAATGTCCTTCCGTCCCACTTGCCTCATGTAAAATAGATGACAACACTTGCATGAGATACCATGATGATTAAGGAACATGAGATACTAAATATACTAAAATTTTATAAACCCAAACTGGTAACACATTAAGAACACATCTCTAGTACCTAGATTTATGTATCCTCAGCATCTAGAAGATGTCTGACCTATAGTGGGCCCTCAATAAACATTCTTTAATTAGGCACAGACAGATTTCAGGATTTCCTCCAGATCACACGGTGACTCAGTAATGAAAGCTGAACCAGAACCAGTCTCTCCAGACTTCCAGTAGAGTGCTCTTTCCACTACATTGCATTGCCAGATCCAGATAAATGAGGGGATAATTACTGAGATGCACTGAAGGAAGTCTTTAAATAGAAGCCAAGAGGAGCTCAGCCAGGTTCTTAGCCTGGGATTTATGAATAATGAACCTCTGGAGGCCTCACCTTCCACCTATAGTGAAATTATAAAGTACAGTGTGTGTGTGTCTGTGTGTGTGTGTGTGTGTGTGTGTGTGTGTCTAAGGCCACAAACCTGGCCTGTGGCAGAGCCCACACTCTGCTACAGATTCTCTGGTTTGCAGTCCCAAGTTCTTTTCACTACACGATGATTTCTCTCTTGTTCTGCAGATAAAATTCAACAAGATTTCTACAAATGGATATGCACGTGCATGTGTGTTTTGTCAACATAGCTAGATAAATGCTCAACACTATACCAAAAAAAAACCCTTATAATTTATCTAAAAACATTAAAATTTATCCTAAAGAATGTAGTAAACCATAATTCAGATGTTTAGACACATGATTGTTTCAAATAGGTATTTTTGTTTGTTTGCTTATGTCAGTTCCTACCAAATACTCCTGCAGGCCCTGACCTACTAATTCTTTTTTTTTTTTTTAAGATTTTATTTATTTATTTGAGACAGAATCAGAATGAGAGAGAGAGAGAGAGAGCACATGAGAGGGGGGAGGGTCAGAGGGAGAAGCAGACTCCCCGCCGAGCAGGGAGCCCGATGCGGGACTCGATCCAGGGACTCCAGGATCATGACCTGAGCCGAAGGCAGTCGCTTAACCAACTGAGCCACCCAGGCACCCCTCTTTTTTTTTTTAAGATTTTATTTATTTATTTGAGAGAGAGCACACACAAGCAGGGGGAGTGGCAGGCAGAGGAAGAGGGAGAAGGAAGCTCCCCACAGAGCAGGGAGCCTGATGCAGGACTTGATCCCAGGACCCTGGGAGCATGACCTGAGCCACAGGCAGATGCTGAACTGACTGAGCCACCCAGGCGCCCTTAATTCTAAAGAGCTGTAGACAAACACACCCACATAAGGTCTCCTGGGTTGTTGTCCTCTGACCCCTGGGACTTGACAGGACTGGGAATTTACATACACACACACACCAAGGAAGCAGAAGCCAGTCAAGGTGGGTATTGTAAAGGAAGCAATTTGGGATGGGGTCAGGAGGAAAGAGAAGGTCACATCAAGTGGAAAACATATAAAATAATATATCCAGTGAAACTGCTGAGTTGACACATCAGCAGGTCTTTAAACCCCAGTTACTGCATCCCTACCCCCTCCCTAAGTGACTCAGCCTTGTAGCTTCCCTATCAAAATGGGGAAGTGTAAGTGAAGATTCCCTACACATCAGAAAGTTGTCATTGAGGCATTCTGCAATCAAATCCTTAAAGCCAAACAGCAATTTCGCCATTGGGTGGTCCCATGCAAGCCGGGACATTTTATCTCAAAATCCTAAACAGTCCCATAATTAAAGAAAAACAACACTAGCTTTAATAAAAGCAGAAACCAGCATGCATAAGTATTTTGGGACAATTTCTTGTTATGACGGACAGTTGGGAAACCAGATTCACAGTTCTTGCTTTCAACTGCCTGACAGCTGAGTCATGAGAACTTGGCTCTCAGACAAAGAGGAGGGACTTTTTCAGAGCGTTTCCAAAGTCGTGTGAGAGAGCAAGGGCGTCAGAGAAGAGAGGAGGTTTCAGCACCAAGCACTGTGCTGAGTTTCAGAGACCGCTTTGCCCAAAACACAGAACAGAGCTCCACCTATCAACATTTTCCGCCTCTAATTAACAAAGCAATTCTTTTCAAAGGGAGTCAGGGAGGCGGGAGTACCTTGATCTTTGAAACTGAAGGCTCAAAAGGCATTCAAAAATCTTAAAATTCGTTAAACAGGTTGTTGGGCCCCCATTCTCAGAGTTTCGTACTCCATAGGTCTGGGGTGGGTTGGAAACCTGCCTTTCTAACAAATTTAGGTGATGCTGATGCTGATGCTGCTGGTCCCGTACTACATTTTGAGAACCACTCCTGCAACAGTGTTAAGAATGAATAAAATTGGTCCCACCCACAGAGAACCCCGTGGCATCCAGGTCCCACGAGTTCTAACATAGACTAAGAGGTGGGTAGCATCGAGACTGTGATGGTCCTCTGCTGGAGGAGTGGGAAGAAAAGGCCACCACACCCCGGCGAGCAGGACAGAAGACACCCCGAGTCCCACTGAAATGTACACCCCTGTGGGGAAGAGAAAACTCCGCAGCTCCCCTACGCTCTGGGCAGATCGAGCCCTCTGGGAAGGCGGGACATCCAGCTTCTAGCTTCGGTTTTCCTTGGGACAAGCAGAGATCTCCTTCCTTCCTCCGGGGACAAACACCCGGAGGAATCTGGTCTCCGCAGCCCCCTGCAGCGCCCCCCACTGGCAAGGATACTTCCCCAGCCCGACCTCCCGCCGGTCGCTAGGCGCTCTCGTCCCGCAGTCGCCCTCCTCCTCCCAGCGCTCCGCGCATCTGGGGCTCCACTCCCCCGAGCCCCGGTGGGGGCGCACTTCTGCCCCCAAGCACTTCTCCTGACTGCGCGGGCGCTTTAACCCGGCGCTCTCCGGCAGCTCCCGGCGGGGAAAGGGTCGCAGACTCACCCATGGCCGGAGCGGGACCCGGGCTGCCACCGGGCGCCAGGGGCAGCCCGAGCCCGGGACGGCCGTGCCAGGCGACCAACAGGCAGCAGACGAGCGCACCCAGCAGCGCCATCGCGGGTCAAGGCCACGAGCCGGGGAGCCTGGGGCTGCCTAGCCCGGGGGTGGAGAGAAGGCAGAAGGCTGAGGGTGTAGACGCCCAGCGGTCACGTGCGAGGGCAGATTCCGCAACGAGTGGGTTCGTTTGACCTTCTGCAACTGTCTAGCGATTATCTGCCTTCTTATGTCTTCGCGTCAGTGACTGGCCTAGGAAGGAATGTGCTTGGGCAAACCCCAAGCAGATCATCTTTCCTAAACACCACTGGCACCAAACGGATGGGGCTCCTCTGCGGAACACACGCAGAGAACCTTGAAGTATCATAATTTGGAGTAGGTCATCAGAAGTTTTGGATAGCACAGTGGATCTCAAAGGGCGGTCCCTAGACTAGCAGCATCGGAACCACCTGGGAATTTTAGTTAGAAATGAAAATTCCCGGGTCCCATCCCAGATCAATGACTTCGGAAACTCAGGAGGGAGCGTAGGAGTAGTCCAGTAATTGTGTTTTTAATAGCCCTCCAGGTGATGCTAAAGTGATGGTGATGTTTGAGAACACTGCTCAAAGACACTAGGTTTTAGTTTTTTTGGTTGTTTGGGGGTTTTTGTTTGCTCAACTGAGTTAGAACAATGTCTCAGAACTGTGCTTTAGGCGGTCCAGAGATACATGAAAAGCATAGAGCTAGTTGATTTTACTCTTCTAAGGAATTTTTGAAGATACTCAGTCTGACAATAGAACCAAGATCCCCAAACTGCTTTGGGTTCTGTGCTCCTTCTTTTACCATTTATGATATGAGGATGCTGGTCTCTTTAAGATAAAAAGCATATAGCTTAAATTTGTAGGGCATGGAATTCCTTTGGAGAAGAAAATATCCTGCAGAATGACTAACCTCATAAAAGAGGTTGTTAAATGTATTTGTTTCTCATCAGAGGAAACCTTATATTGTGTCCTGTGTAATTTAATGGGAAAGTTCACATGAAAGGGGCTTTGAAATGGGAATCGAGGTGCCTCCATCTAGTTTCATGTATTGCCAGAGTGCTTAAGTCCTGCCTCAGTTTTAGGATAATTCAAAAGCCTTTCTAGAACCAAAATGCTTTCCAGTGGTGGACAGAACGGTCTTTGGAATTTCTCAGTCCACAACCTCAAAAGTCTGGAGGAAAATGGGCAGGGGAAAAAATGGTGGACAGATGAGAGAGTAACTTTAAGGACAGCAAAGTAACTTGTGTGTTTCTAGCCCAAACATTTTCAAAGATAGGAAAAGGATTTTTTTTAAGTGTAAAAATAGCATTTTTCAGTCTTCTCCATCCCCCCCATCTCCTCAGTTTCCATTAAGCTTTAGGGGAAGTGAATTGATTTTGAAACAATTCTTCAGTAAGTAAGCATAAAATACCACCTGCATATTTTGAAACCTAAGAAATGCTTGAAATCCTAAAAAGACAATGGGTAGAAACATCATTCTGCCTTCTACTTCCTCTGCTTTCTTTTGTTTTCCTTTATACCTACTCTCTAAGAAGCACAAAGCTACAGTGCCTCAACATCTCTGGGTTTTCACCTTAGCTTTGGAAATGTATTGATAGGTCCCCATGTTCCAGAGGGAGGAATGGTTTGTTGTGAAGGTGTACATTTGGGTGAGAGAGAACACATGTGACTGAGTGGAAGCCACTGCTTACTCATCATCAGTGGTCCAAGCGTGGATTTCCCAAGACAGCCTTTACTCAAGTTTGCAGACCTTGGGATTTCACAAAGGTTTTTCCAGGGCCTGTTGGTCAAATTGCCTGTGGGCTTGGTAATTTTCCCTTTTCTATTAGCTATGTTAAAAACAAAAACAAAAAGGACAAACCAGAAAAGTTAGTACACTGGCAGATTACTGTAAGAGCTGGAATACTGCTTGAAGAAAAAATGATTTGCAACTACCCTGTAAACATTTAGGAAGCAAAAACATTTGTTAATTACTTTCCCAGAAAAATACATTTGGTCCACAACTGCCACCCTTGATCTTGGTAATTATAATTTTAATTTTGTTCTCATTTAGGCCACCCAAAACCCTTCCCATTCTTCACTCTGTGAGACAATTGTTATGGAAATAAACAGCAGCAGGATGTTATTTGGCCTAATTATACTGAGCCAAAGCTGCCAAATCCCCATCCTAGGCCTTGTATCTTTAAGAATAGAGAGACCAGAATCCATGCTTCTACTGGAGCTTAGGCTGGAATCACCAAGAGAAATCAGTCCTCCAACAGAAGCAAAGATGAAGGGTGTCCAAACAATTTAGAGCAAACACTGTCTTGATGTTCTGTTTCATGTTTTAAAGACAAAGGTATGGGGTGCCTAGGTGGCTCAGTTGGTTTAGCAGTAGGCCCTTTATCTCAGGGTTGTGAGTTTAAGCCCTGCATTGGGCTCCACTCTGGATTTGGATCCTACTAAAAAAAATGGGGGAGTGGGGCGATAGATCCTGTGCTTGTAGGAATTTTCATCTAAGCCTGTCTTATCTTGGCATTTGGTAATAAGTGTATTCAAATGTTAAATCCTATAGCTACACTTTAGTTTTTTCTACTCTTCATTATAGTAATTAAAGTAATCCAATAGTCAGATAATAGTATCATTATGGTGAATTTTGTAAGTTAAAGTAAGTTTCCTCATGCTTATATCTGTAAGTTAATTGGGCCTTGAATTAATTTATAGAAATTTACTGAAATTGGCTGGCTGATTAAATGAATATTGCATATTTTTCCTGGAAAAATATTTACCCTATTTTCCTACCAGAGGCTAACAGAGAAAAGATTTCCTAAGGAATGATCAGGGAAACTAAAACTCTTGCTTTTTTCTTTTTTCTTTTTTTTTTTCCCCGAAGAGATGTTAAATGAAATGTCAATTTTTGAGAAGAAATGAAGGGGAAAATCACAAGGTTTACAGTTCAATTTCCTCTTCAGTAAACTAAAAATAATAGTATCTGCCTTACCTGCTTCACATTGTTGGTTTGGGGAATTGGCTAAAAAGTATTTTATAAACGATGAAATACAAAATAACATTTGTTTGTTTCTACTTACAAAGGCAAATCCTAGCCAGTTACAAATAGATATTTACTTTCCCTTGGTCAACTCAGTTTGGACAACTCCCACACCCTCTACCCCCCAAAAGAAGGGAATTTGAATGCCTTAATGCACATTCTATGCACACTCCATTTTAGCACTCTTATTGACTTAGTTGAGCTCAATGTACTTGTCTGGAGACACATCTTTATAATCCAGGATAAAATTCACTTTCTTTTCCTATATACCTTTCAAAAAGAAGCCAGTTACATGACATTTTGATTATGTGATATTTTGACTATATTTACCTTTAAATATAAATAAGACATTTTCATGTATATCATTTTGTTTCATCAGACTACCTGTTTCTAATAGCAGCCCAACCCACCATCACAAGGCTACTTTGGGTTCTGGCCAAATGAATTTAATTGTCACAAATTCTCTATGGCAGTCTCAACCAAAACTGGCATTTCCACTTTTCCCCAGGCTTCTGCTTATTTCTTTTTAATTCGTATTTTAAACAAAGTGCTAACTTTTCCAGCTTTACCTTATACAATAAGAAAGGCTATTTTGTCTAAAACCTCCTAATGTCTAATTCCCCGCCAGATTACTGATATTAAAAACAACGACAAAATTTCTCATGGGTGTAAGATTTTTATTCCAATTTGATTTGCATTCCAATGGAAATTATAAAATGTATTCACTTCTTTATTTTAAAAATGTGGCTTAAAATTTTTCACGTGAATTATAAAACATGATAAATCTGCAGTTCAAAATTGGGCTAGTTGCAGTAAGAAGTTTTTAAAACAAGTGTTTAAAGCACCGTTTTCTACCCACATCAGAGATAACCTTTAATTAGTGATCACCCATGCTGTAAGAACAGGATAACACTGAGACTTGAGTAAACAGAAAAATTGTAGAGCTTTTCCAACCCCAGATCAGGAACCTTTCTATGCCTTCTCATAGTGGCGAACAGCAACCACATCACCAAAAGTAAGAGTCTGAAAGATGCAAAAGATAATCAAATCTTTTTACACAAGAATATCAGCAGCTGAGATTTCTAAAGATTATCATATATATAATTTATGTGTTACGCAAAAGAATAATGTCATTTACAAACATTAAATGCTGCATCAGCTCTTCACTTCTTAAAATAAAAAGAAAAGAAACTTTTTTATTTATGGAGTGAATAACACGTATATATAGTTCATGTCTCTAAAAGGAAAATGAACTGAAACACCAAGATTAACTATGTAGATTCAGGTCAAAAGAATTCCTTTTGCCTTAAATTATCAGGGTAATTGGAGCAAAATAGCTATCTGCTTTGAAAGTGAATCTGTTTTCATAACATAAATTTTGAAGAATTTTTAGAAAATCCAAATAATTTGGACAAATGGTATTTGGAATGACTGGTTTCAAAGTCATCAGGAAAAAGTAAAGTTACAAATGTTCTCATTACTTTGGTCATCATACTTTAGCCGATGTGGACCTAGGTGGCTAGGTGGGTATGATATGGAACATGGGCTTTTATGTCAAATTGACTGGAAGAATTGTTCTAAAATCTCTACAAAACCTAGGGGGTTTTTTAATGTTCATTATTTTCATGTGTTGACATGACTTTCAAGAATATAGCATCCCTTCATCATCCATTGTTTTAATATTTTTTTAAATCAGTCTTGACTGATCAGTCATACATGCCAAAGCTGAGCTATCCACTGTCCTGTATCCAGGGGGAAAAATGGCTATAAAAGCATAAAGGAGAATCTCAGATTGGATCTTTTATATATCAGTCCTTTTTTTCGACGATGCGTGCAGAAATAAGTGGGCAAATATTCGTTCACGTAAAAGGAAAACTGATCCTCTGTTCTCCATCCCATTTCCACCCATGAAAAGAAGTATGAATAATGTAAGCCCTGTGTCTTAATCTAGAACAGCCCTGATAGCAGCAATTATGGAGAAGAGAAAAAAACAACAATTTCCTTAAATCACAAAAATGAGAAACTCCTTTCGTCCACTTAGAAGGAATATGTACAGCAATACCCACCCCCCCAAAAAACCCCAAATGATATATTTACTATTTTAATGTTATCAAAATACCATTACTCAGTTCACA